AGGAGCACTCGCAGGCCCTTCATGAAGTAAGCCTGTGTCCCCAGCAAATCTGTGACGCGTGACCATCGTGGTTTCCCTGGCGCGTTCCATCTGGGGCGGCGTTTGGTGAAGCCTGCTGAAACCTGGGCGCGCAGGCAGCGGTGGGCAGGGGGTGGCGGGCGGTGGGGCCCTGTGAAATGTGTGGTGTTGCTAATGGTCAGCCCACCTGGTCACTGGTGAGCCGTTTGGAAACTGGCCTTGTACACTTGGTGCTGTGGTGGGCGACATCACTGAAGCCGAGCGGGGAGGTTTTCTGTTGGACACAGCAGACATCCGGGGGTGTTGGATATTTTTCGTCTTGTTTTGTTTTGGTTTGTTTTGTTGCCAGGGATGGAACTCAGGACCTTGTGCTCGAGAGGGAGGTGGCAGCACCACTGAGCTAAATCCCCAGCCCCATGGTTTTTTGTACTTCGTGAGGACTCGTTGTTGGTGATGTTGTTTTTTCTGTTTTCTACATTTTGAGACCTGGTCTTACTCAGTTGCCCAGGCTGGGTACGACTTTTTTTTTTTTGTACTGGGGATCAAACTTGGGACTTTGCACTTGCGAAGCAGGTGGCATGGGTAGCACTTTTGATGCCGTGCCCACCTCCTTGACCGCTGAGAAGACAGGCGTGTGGCATTCTGCCAGCTCACGGTGGGGGTTTCTAATCACCACGATTTACCGAGATTTCAGGGCTTGGGTGGACTGAACATCAGGGAGGCATGTGGTGCACCCCGGAATCCCAGCCCCTTGGGAGACCGAGACAGGAGCACTGCAGCACCGAGCCCAGCCTGGACGGTTAGAAGTGCGTACTTTGGGATGTACTTCCAGTCCGACATGCGCGAGACCCTGAGTTAAATCTCTGGTAGTAAAGAAGGCTTATTCAGGCCCCTGTGGAACACACCCTGAGTTACTCTTCACACGGCTAAAAAGCATGAGAGTTCCCATGCAATTTTCCTGGTATTGTGTATGGTTTTTCACCACCTAGAGGAGAGACACCCTCGGCGTGTGGGGCTCAGTGAGGGGTGTGTAAGCTCCACAGTTCGTGTAACCTTCTCAGTGTGCTTTCTTTTGTGAATTTCTTCCGTACTGGGAGTTTTGATGAACGTTGTTGGTAAAAAGAGAAACGTTGCGGGAAGGGTTTAGGAAATTTTGTTTCTTGATTTTTCCTTACTGAGTTGACTTTCTCGGAAACTGGAGGACTGATCTGCGGAAGCACAACACATGTAGACATAAATCCTTTCTTGTACGTTTCCCGTAGACCCGTGTGAAGCTCCACAGAGTCGCGGTGCTGGTGAGCAGACAGCCGTGCGTCCTTCTGGCTCATCTCTGATCTCGTCTGCTGCAGCCCACGGTGGCCAAAAGGTGGATTTTTGGACGCTCGTGGTGGCTTTACCATCGCACCACTAGCCAGAGAGTTACTCGGTGAAAGCTCCTTGGAATTTTGAAGGAGTTAAACATTGAACGTATGTAGTATTAATAATACCCTGAGAAGATGGCTTGTGTGTTGTTCCTTGAAGCTGTTACCCAGAGGATTGTAGGGAAGTTTACATTTCAGCCACTTCGCTTACTTGCTCCTTAGATTCTGGTTTTGCGTTGTTTGTAGCTGCTGTTTTGGATGTCTGGACAGAACCAGCCCTGGCAGGACTTGAGTCTCTGTTCATCAGCTGTGGCGTCTTTGTGCTCACTTGGGCAGTGCTGAAACTGCAGCCTTGCTCCTTTCTGGCCCTGGGGGTGAGGACGTGACAGCAGCCGGGACCTGAGTACCCTCTCCTATCCCAGACAGGCGACTTCCGCGTGGCCGAGCCCGGTCTTAGGTAGCCCAGGGTCCGTGGCCACGCTTCTCTGCAGAATGTGGTGACGTCAGGAGGGCTGCGGAGAGGGTCTTGACTCATGCACGGCACTACGTGTGCTCGCTGGGTGCCCTGTCTCTTTTCGCCCAAGAGCAGAATCGGCGTCGTGATTTATATCTTAAATGTTCCCCATGTCCTCGTGTGTGTAAGTTGTGTGGATTGTGGGGACACGTGCTCAGGGTAGACTCGTCCCTCTATGTGTCCTGTCGCCGAACGGGCCGTCGGCATCTGGACCTGGATGGAGGTGGGTCACCCGAGTGCGACTTGTCTTATGCTGGGACAGTGTGGTCTATTCTCCATTTCTTTTCTCTCTGCTTCCGGGAGCCTTTCTTCCCATCGTGTTCTTTGCCACCTATTTCTGCCTTACTCCCGGCTCATCGTGGGATGAAACTGTGAGCCAGAAAGGTGCCTTTGTGTTCCAGGTATGGGCTGTTTTGTCCGAATAACAGGAAAGTGCGTAGGATAGGCACGGGTGCTACATTTGATCCGTGTTTGGAATGCAGGGTCTCAAACACACAAGTTGTACCTTCGACCCTGGTCTTTCTTGTGATGACAGTAGATGCCTATATTTGTATAGAACTACCTCTTCACAATGTGAAAGTCATTGTGTGGTACTGATAATAGCCAAGAAAATTTTGAAAATAGATTTAAAATTTCTGGCAGTGAGTCTCAGTGGTAGCAGTCATTAAGCTTGTTAAATTTCAGTGTTAAATCCACCATTTTGAAAGAAATAAAAGAAAGTTTCTGTTAGTTTAGAATGCTAAGAAGTTTGGAGGAGGAATTACTGATTTTTCAAGGAGAAAATGGAATAATCTTTCAAATGGCAACTTTGCAAAAGGGACCCTGTTAACCAGTAATGTGTCCTGTTAAAGTGCAGGTCCTGCTTATGAATGTCATTTCGATGTGAGTGCAAAGACCTGGGTCCCACCTGTCACATAACACTTAGGGTTATGGATGCTTTTAGAAATTTTCTTAAATAATGAAATGCTTCTTGAGGTAGCTCTTTTCATAAAAGGAGTACTGGGGCTGGGAATTTAGCTCAGTGGGTCCACTGTGTGCCACGCAAGCGCAAATACCCCAGTTCGGTTCCTGGTAATGTGTGTGTGTGTGTGTGTATTTATTCTGTTCAGTGTGATAATCAGAGCTTACCGACCTGCTGTGCCTCTTCTGCTGGGTCCCAGGCATGGCGCAGCTAGTCACGTGTTCTTCAGCTTTTGCTAAGTCCCCCTTCTTCACGGGTGTGGGGTCCGCCCACTGTGGGGATTGGGAGATGTGCAGCGGCCTTGTGACGGTGACGACCTGGGGACTTTGTTACTGTTCATACCTAGATGTTCTCCCAGAGCCTCAGGCCCACATGGGTGGGGCTTTGGGAGGTGAGTGATCGTGGATGAGTCCTCTGATGGGTTTATAGCGGGTGTGGTGTTGGCGGGAAAGGCCTGGTGGGAAGAGGTGGGTCGCTGTGGCTGTGGCCTAGAAGGTGTGTGGTGCCTCACTGCCCCTCACTTGATGGCTGCTGCTTCCCCGTGCCAGGCCCTGAGCAAGCTTCCTGCCTGCCACACCCCTCAGCCCAGCCACCCTGCCTTGCAGCCC